ATATTTGTTCTATCAGCAGATTGTCCCCGCTGAGCTCTGCAGCACATCCAGAGCTAACATGGACCTCTTGGCTCCTTCTCCGCTTATTTCTCTGCATGTCTAGCATGCAAGATGAAAGGATCCATGGACAACCACGTCCTGGTCAGCTTTTTCCATATTCATTCTTATTTCAGATAATGGATTGAACAGTCTTCAATAAAATGTTTATTTGGGATATTGTCTTTTTTTTTTTAACAATATCTGAACTTGCTTTTATCCCAACCTCCCTTTTCTCTTTGACCTTCATTGGTCTTCATGATGCAGTTTTTTCATCAAGCCTTCGTAGAACATTTTAATTCAGACTAAGGTTAAATTACACACTTCATTTACTAATAAGGACTATTGTAATGAAGAGGGACAAATACAAATGCCCAGCTAAATATAAAATGTACTTATTTTCTATTTTCAGGAATTAGCTTTATAAATAATATATTTAAGTCAGTAGTTTCAGTTTAGTGGTTTCAGTTTAAAAGATATCGAGACCACTGCATAAGTGAAAGGAAAACAGACATCTGAAATCATCCCCTCTTTCACTTAAAATCCTTTTTTAATACTTTCCTTTAAAAACAAGAGCAACTACCCTTTCATCATAGCTGGGATCAAACCGAATTCAGCAGCTTAGCCACACCTTTTATGGAGTCTCTGATGTCTACTAAAATCATGTCAAAGTAGCTAAGACTGTTTCAGTGTGCTTGCCTTCATAATGAAGAGCATGAACTAAATTAAAAAGATGCTTTTCATGACATAATCCATGTTTATGCAAGCACGGCACGCTGCTCATTTTTTCCTTTTATCTGTGCTTTCATAGTCCAGGAATTATCCCGTATGGCAGTTTTGGACATGCTCCGTATGATTTACAGGGGCTCATAAACCTCTTTCATCTGTAGGAATGTCCTGCTGGTTCTTTTTTTTCAGTTTCAGTTTTTTTTAATCCTGCCCTCTTTGATTCCTACTATTCATGTCTCTATCTTCCCTCCAATCCCAAAGTTTCTTCTTCTTCCTTTCTACTCTCTTGTTGTCAGTATGTTACAGAATCTTGAGAACGGGGTCATCTTTTTCCAACCCTTTGGACGGGACACCGCCTCCCTGCTTTCTGCAAATTCAAGGCATGTGAACAGAAAAACATACATTCTTTAGCTTTCAAAGTCTGTTTAATCGACATGTTTGAATCAGGTCTCTGTTTAAATGTGGTTATTTTCTGAAAAACCCCCCCTGACTGTGTGGGTAGTTGTGAATGTCAGTGGCAAGGCGAACAAAACATAAAACAGATTTGTCCTTCCTTTCTTCTTGCTGAAGCAAGAGATTGCTCTCAAACCACATCTTATATAGAGTGGGATAGTGTGGTGAGGAAGTGGGGCTGGAGAGGATAAACGTAAGTGATTAGGAGCAAGAAGAGGAGTGAGATCTCACAGAGGTCTCAGTCTGGGGACAAAGCTTTATGGCTGGTATGGCGTCAGTCATGGTTCTGGGGTATTCCTGATCATAATGTAATAAGGATGAAGCTTTTTATTCTTTAGAGATGAAACAAACCAGAAAGAATAGGAGATAATCTGCTCGTCTGTGTCTTGTAGCTCTTCATAATATCTCTTTCTTTGCCTTGATGGCTGTTGCATTTTATAGCAGGTTGCCAAAAATAACTGATAAAACATAATTTTATATACACACATACAGTTGTGCTTGAAAGTTTTCATACCATTTCATTAAAGAAAATGATGGATTTCCACTAGTAATTCAAATGACACAAAACTGAAAGAAGTAAAAATAAATAATAATTTAATAAAATAAAATTGAGAATTTTTGTTATGAAAAATAATTCTAAAAAGAAAAACTCTACCAGATAAATTAAAGTACCTTTCTCATGATGAGTGAAAAATCAAACCTGTCAGAGAACACCTGATTAGTGACTGCCTCAAAGTTATTCTCAACAAAATGTTAGTTCAGGAGCTCTAGCAGGCTTGTTTACTTGTTTTATTAATTAAGAGGAACTAAATTTATTGGATATTTTAAAATTGTTTAACACGTTTAGCAATATTAATCGCCGCCTTTTCTTTCAGTGCTGCAATCTCTCTCCAGAAGATCGGTGAGGATCTCTGAACGATCCAATGTTGACCTAAATGACTGATGATGATAAATAGAATCCACCTGTGTGTTATCAAGTCTCTGTATAAATGCACCTGCTCTGTAATAATGTCAGGAGTCAAACATCTAGTGAGGAATATTTTGAAATTCCAGGGAAAAACTAAATGATTACAAAGTCATATTCAAGCTAGTTAATCAGGGAGACTCTTTTGCAGATTGGGATCCGGTGCAGCTTACGAAAATGATAAACAAACTTTTGTGAAGTCCGAAGTGCTAAAATACAAAGTGTTAGAATCAAACTTATTCATTTGAGAAATGAAAAGTTATTTAAATCAACCTAGCCATATGGGATATTTTTCATCTAAGTCCAATAGCTTTTTGTTTCCACTTGAAAAACTACCATTAAGTATTTGTGATAAGAAGCAATAAGCCTTAACATCTCTGTGACGGAAGTTTGGCCACTTCTTGTTTGCAAGATTGTTAAATCAGTCACATTGTTGAGTTTTGGAGGAGAAACAGTCTTTGGGATTCTTGCCATGGCTTTTTCATCAGATTTATGTCCAGGCTTTAGGTCACTCTGAAACCATTATTTTCCTTTTTTATGAATGATTCAAAGGAGGGCCTGCTGTTCTTTGGATCATCTTCATGCTGCAGAACCTAATTATGCCTCTGAAAGCTGTTTTGCTGTCTCCTATATTGTGTTGCTTTTAGAAAAATCAATGTCAATAGTTTAGAGCATTAAAAAAACACAGGAGGGAGCTGAGCTAAATGGATGTACTGGAAACTTTATTCAAACTGTATAGCTTCCTGCTTTATTTACAGATGGTGAGAAAAATTGTTAAGTTAAATATGGCATACAGGCTACCACTAGCTGTTGTGTCCAACATGGTCCCTCGATCTAATAAAAGGTTGAAACACTTTTTAACATTAATCTTTCTTTATAGTTTGCTATAAATGATCCATTTCCCCAAATGAAGCACTGGTGCCAAATAGATTACAACCTAATGTTTCTGCATATTTTCTTGCAGATCTTTTTCCCTCTTATTTATATATCAGTTTCTCTTTCCATCCAATTTATATTCATTAAGATTCATATTACCCCATGTAGTGCCTGCACTTTATCAAATGACTGATTCTCTGCTGTTTTAGTGTCAAAGTGCTCAGCAGAACAAATCCAGATGACTTGGTTGTCATGCCAGAAGTTTCATGTTCACTGCTTGTATTTCATGTGTTCTGCTTGTTGTCATCCTCTGTTGCTTTTAAAGGCTCATAAAATATGGAAGTTTTTACAGTTAGCCCTTGTCTTCCCTTTGCTACATAAATACACTCACAGACAAGAGAGATTTCCTTCCAGTGTAAAAGCTGTTGACAACTTCCAGAGAAGTGTGCTGGGGGGAAACTCTGCTTACTGTGGAAGCGAGCGTATGCAGCTAAAATGAGAGGCCTTGTCCTCTTAACCAGGATTGTAAAGTCATGTGCTTCTTGTTAAAATATTTTCTCTAGTTTCAGCCCAACCGACTGACATCATGGAGTTAATATCTTCAGAAAACTAGTGATGTGTGTCAGTGATTAAAGTTCTTGATGTGGTGAATGCATTTATCCACAGCCAAACTATGGGAGTCCAAGTCCCCTTTGAAGAGAGATAAATAATCCCAGGGTGAACACTTAATCTAATTAGAATTACCATTAGGTGAATAATGACTAGGGTTAGATATACACAAAAATACACTAACCAGCAACATATTTATGTTCACTAACAACTGAAAAACAACACCACCGTTTATTAGGAATGAATTGTTTTGCTGTATGATTTTTCCATGACCAGTATAACTTAGATGAAAAAGAATATGATTCAGATATCATTTCACAAAGGGTTCACCTCTCAAATTATTTAGACTCTTTTAAGCATGGGTAAATACAGTCTTCTTTATTCATGTTAACTAGTTATAAATTCTTCCAGTGAATTGGTGAGGCAATCTTTCAGGTTTAGTATTTAAATGAAAAGCATGGGTCGGGCTGATTAATTTCTTTTGATGAAATTTGTTCAGTACAGTCTATTTTGTTGATGTTTCCATTTGTTTGTCCTATTTGCACAGGAGCAAACAATAACTCATTCACTATCAGGGTTACCTGACTGGATAGTTTAATTTTAATTAATTGTGTTGGTTAAAGGTTCCCTCATTCTTTTGAACAGAATAAAAATAAAAAAACAAAGAAATTACTAATGAACATATGAATTGACTTATATTTAAGTTGGGTTCAAGAAAATTAATATATAGAAGAATGTATGAAGAAAGTTTAGAATTGGTGAAAGGATGGTGTTTGGAGTATTTTGGGTTTCATAATATTCTAGGATAATTCTGGCTTGGGGTTGAACTATGTCTCACTGCTGCAGGCAAAAAAAAAAAATCCTTAACTGAAAAGAAAAGTGATTTTTAAGAGGAACAAAACTTTATGGAATGATCTGGTGACTGCTTATGAAAAGCTGATTAACTCAGACCATGTGAGTACTATCAAAGAGATCACACGTATCCAACATGAGTGTATATTTGTGGCTGAGTCTCCTCCATCATACATTTTTTATTTAGAAGAGGGAAGCGGGGATGAAGATGTTGTGGAAGAGGACGCCAGGAAGGCAGAACCTTTGTTTGGTGTAGAAGGCTTATAGCCGTAAATGTTTGAGCTCTTGCCTCACAACGCTGCCAGTTCTGTAAGCTCAACGCACAGTGAACACTGGGACATAACTCAATGGTAAAGTAAATTATTCTTATTTCAACCATTGCATATATTAGCTACGACATATGAATCAAGATGCTATGACTGATGACCATTGATATGTGATATTTGCCTTCAAGTCGTTGCCCATAGGAAGACGTTACTTGGATATTACCTAACGGAATATCTTCAGAACAGCTCCAAATGACACAAAACTCATATGGGTGAGTAGAATATGATGTAATAACGTAAAATTAAGGGCCCAATGTAAAAAAAAAAAGGCGTTCCCCTTGACCTTTATGAGTTGGGCCTTTTCTATCTTCTGTTTTGCCTTCTGGATTAATTCCTGACAGATTTTGGATGACCATTGTACATTTTTCTGTGTTATCTAGCTCTACATTGTGTGAGAGGACCACTCTGGAGCTGGAGACTTCCACCTCCTTTGGGGTTCCTAGAACATACATTTCTGGAGTAGAACTTGGTCTGTAACCTGGTGAGCAAGATTGATAAAATTGAAAATTATTGGTTTAGTTCTACACACAGTTATTCAGTTTGGGGAAAAGAGGGACATTCGGCAGAACTTTCTGAACTGATTTGGTGAAGCAACATCTATTGCCTACCTAGGTGCTATTTTGGTTTTAGCTAAAAACAGTTTCTAATGAAAATGTTGTATGCATTAGGAGCCATCAGAACCCAGAAGAAGTTATGCTTGTAATGCTCTCGCTGTTCGTTTAATGATGTCTTTTTTCCTTTTCTTAGGGTATATACTTGCAGGCGAAGTTGTAGCTTCTTGTCAGCTGGTGCCGCTTGTCACAACCTTATCTGTCCCGTAAGCACGACTCATTTGCGTATGTGCATCTAGATATACATCTGGGTCACACTTGATTTTATTTTGTTAACAAGACCTAAATGACGTTTTTCCCTCCACCAAAATAGTAAGTGTATAAAAATATGTGTTAAAGGTTAATAAGGTATTTCCTGAGAAAATAAATGCCTTAAAATCCTTCTGTTTCATCACTCGTCTCTGTCCGATCTGCACTGGAAATGGGACCAAATTATACTTCAGGGAGCTAACTTTTTTGGCTTTTGATTTAAACATAAATCTAGTCTTTTTGAGTTTTATGTTGTTCTTTTGTTTAAGTGCTGATGCTGCCTACAGCACCAGGACTCTGAAAGTGCCTTCAGTCAGAGGCTTCTCCAGACCCGAGGAAAGACAGCTATGAAAGATCCTTCCTGCCTACATCAGCACCTTATAAGAACCCGATGGAGAAAAAAAAACAAACAAACTATAAGTTACTGCAAGATTTCATTTGTCTTATTTTTGAATCTGAATTGAACTGAATCTGCTTATTATGTTCTGCTTGTTATGTTAAATTTAATACAGCGAGGTAATGTAAAAGTGAAAACAGTAAGACTATGCCTAAACTATATCAATCATCATAGAAAACATTCCACTTGAATTTGGATTGCACAAATGTGTTGGATTGGTAAAACCTTTGTTTTTCAGGCTGTAGCTGATTCCCCTTTCAGGACATTTCCAAGGAGGAGCCTGTTAGGACATCCTGAGACCCCCCTGGAAGTCTTTTTGTTTAAAAACGTCTCTTCCAAGAGGGAAATTCTCTTTATTCTGGGGCCCACACCGGGATGCAGAGGGTAGACACTTGTCTTCACCCTGTGGCCCACTTAAAACAATAACAAAACAGGGGAGACACTGCTGACAGGGAAGGACATTCTTCAAACTTTGATTGAAACCTAAGTACAGTCCAATTTCTGCCCAAAGAAACAACAGATGGTTCATTTCTGCACATTTTTCAGGAAAGACTGGAAATAAAGACCCCATAAAGGCCAACAACACTCACAGAGAACATACCATCCATAATAAACTGACATCATTGCTTCAGTATATTGGTAATGGTTTTCAACCATTTCCAGTTGTCTCTTTTTTTTCTATGTGTATATAGTAGCAATTTAGTTCAGTTCATTTAGGCTAATTTAGTTAGGAGTTCACCAATGTAAATCTTAATCTATGAATTATAAGTAAAATGGAAGTTATGAGTGTGCAGATTTTACTGCTTAAAAATGATCAAACTTAAATCAATCAATTATCTATTGTCCTAACACAGCCATCTGGGCGAGTGCTCACAGGTTAAATTATTATAGGCCGGAGGGTATTTGAATAACTATTCAATAACTTCTATGCATTTAGGTGCACATTTGTATATTGGTAAAAATAAGCCAAAATTCATTCTACTTCAGTCAGTAACAGTATCAATTCATCCTAGAAAAGAATCCACTTAAGACTGAGTGTGGGATTATCAAATCACAATCCCTTAGTTTACTCTAGCCCGTGGATGTTCCATTATTTTAATCTGAAACCCTTTTTAATCAAAGAAATATATATAAAGGTTTTATGCTAAAGTAAATTATTTTTTTATATGTGTAAGGTGGTTTCTGTTGGGATCTGGAGCTGTACCACCTGTCTCCAGCAGAGTGTGCCGTGGATCCTCCTGAGCTGAGCCTCCAACACACCTGAGGTGCATCTCGTCATCAGAGGATCCTCCTGTATATAACCTGCCTTCAGACCTTGCCTCAACGCCGCAGTGTTGATCCAGTTTGGTTAGCACCTGAGCCTAGCAATCACCTGAGAATCTTAGTGATCTCTGCTGAGATAAGATTCTAACACCTCCTTGTCTCTGCTTTCAGGAATCCTGTTTCCCTTGGAAGCTCTGGATGAGCTTAACCTGCCGAGCCTGCCCTCTGAGCCAAACCTGAAGACTCTTCTCTGGATTCCCCTGCAGCTCTTGGCTAAGAGCTGGAAACTCAAACCAAGGTCTGCCCTCAAGTCAGAAGTAAGACGCTGAAGCGGTTATTGGACTCTGCTGAACTAAACAGTCTCTGTTGAGAGAGGAACCCAACAGTTCCTCTCTCAAAGTTAAACCCGGACCCATCAAGGTATTCTTCAGAAACTCTCAAACTCAAACTCTTCAGTCCCAGAGCTAACTGAACTGTCATCCTTACAGACTCCAGTGAACCTGCCCCCCGGCCTGAACCAGTTCCAGTGTTATATTCCATGTGCTTGTGCTTTAAATAAACCTTGTTAAACTTTTCATCAGTCTACGTTGTGTTCTGCATATTGGGCTTTTCTGAACCCATCATGACAGTTTCTATGATTTAATTAAACTGGAATTTATGACTCTGCATGTTTTATAGAAAATCTCTTGTTGGATGTGCTTGGAGAAAAAAAAACAAGCAGATCTGATTAAAAAAAGACTTGCATGTGTTCTGATCTGCTCTGGTCTTAGTACAGCTGTACTGTGCAGGCTCTATGGCTTAGCTGTGGCCAACAATATCATAAAAAGACACATTTGTAATACAGGTCTTTTCCAGGAATCGATAGAAGTAAAAAAAATTACAGCTAATTGTGCCAGGTTTGTTTCATGCAGAAAATACTAACAGCTTGTTTAGAGGACAGGATCACACTGATCACCTAGAAATAGAGCACCCCACTTTTCTGCACCACCTGCTTTAAAAGACATGCTATAAACAACTTTTTGCTTTTGGTATACTGGCCTGGCATATATTCATACTGCAAACAAGCTGATGCAGGGTCTGGATAAACCTTCCTGAGAAACCTCTGTAACTATTCCAGGATAAGGTTTTCTGCCCAGTTTCGCTGTCTGGGATGGATTCACGTGAGAAACTGGACCATCGTTCCAAAAGTTTGGTTTGAAAGCAATGTAACAAAAGCTCAATGCTAAAGTTGGTGTCATATGTGAGATAAAATGTAAGTGAAAACGTACTACACCAAATAAATCCAACTAGGTTATAAACCCTTTAAGTCTGCTTTATTTGCATTATAATCATGCTAATCTAAGCAATGTAACACTCCTCTTATGCTCTTTGGAACTTGCATGTTTAAAGTCTTTTTAACTTTTACATTAATGCAAAAGAAACTAGAAGATCTACTTGAAAACTAGTCTATTACAATGGCATTCAACATAAATGAAAGCATCATGTGCACCAGGAGAGGGGAACCTACGGCCTCCACAGCGTACATGTGCATGAAAAAAGCAATAAGGAATGATATCTCTGATATATGTCAGAAAAGGGTTAGTGAGCACCACATAATGGGTCAGCATAAAAACAGAAATGACCAGGTGTCCAGGTGTTAATTATGATCATGGCAAAAAGAAAAAAAAAGTAGATCTTGAATGCCACATCTTTTAAGAGAAATGAACAAACAAATGTTTTTTTTTTTCAGTGAAGTGAAAAGCAAACCTTGGTGTTTAGTTTGAGGGGATGAACTCGCAGTGATAAAAAAAAACCTGTAAACTAATTAAGTTAACAGCAATTCCTCTGAATTTGCAAGAATTTGTGCGTTCATATGACCTCAGAACAACAGAGACGATAGAAAGGAAAGTTTTGTGGTGAGTGAAGGAAAAGCTAAGAAGCTGAAACTGTGCTCCAATTAGGAAATTCTGTGGCGTCTAACTGTCTTCCAACAGAGGAAGAAGCAATTGCAAAATATCACATTAGAAAAGTGTTTAATGCAACAATTGTCAAAAAGAACACCATGATGCTTATTTTATGGTTTTCAAAATAAAATACATAAGATCATATTAGAAAAAAAGATGTACTTCTTGTTTATGTAAAACAAAAAAAAGATCACTCATTTGTATAACTGTAGACATTTCATGCAACCACTAAAACTATGGTTTTATGAATCTATAATTGTTGTGTTATTAGGCTTTAAATTTTAAGCATTGCCCTTTAAAGATTTTTTTTTTTTTTTTTTTTAAACAGAAATGGCTCCTATGATCTCCTGATATACACACTGTCCCGACAAAGACACAAACGATTCTGTGTTAATCAAAAAAAGACAGTAAGTAGGGGAAATCTTTCAGTTTTTTGTATGTCTGGACTAGTAAAAGCATGCTTTCAGAGACTGGGAATTCGCAAAGATCTAACAACAGAAGGACATAGTTAGTAGAAGAGATAAGCTCAAGCATCTTATTTTTTGACTCATGGTGTAGTAATAGTAAGAGATACTTATGACTCTTAGAGACACATGACAGAGAGAGTCATCACCTCTCCCACGTCTGCACCACAGGCGTCCCAAATCTTCCCAGGATTAATTCTACATTATCTCTCAGATCAAAGCCAGAACTCAGTTGACAATGTGGGTGTTTGAGTATCACACTGAGGCTAAGAAACAGAAATAAAAAAGAAAAATAATGCAGGGAAGATGGATAAATTGAAAGGGTGTTTCGCTTGGAGTAGATTAAAAACATTTATAACCTTTACACATTATAAAAAATATCTACGCACACACAGAAGACAAAACCCACCAAAACAATGTAAAGTAAGTTAGATTTTAAAAACTAGGCTGCAGTCGCCTCAATTCAACATGAGCAAAACTGTTAATAAACAGAACTATTGAGTCTGTAAAAAAATAATAATATTGTTTGCTTCATGGAGCTACATTAAATTATTATCAATATACACATTATTACCAATAGACATTGGGGCGTGGCTCAGGATTATTGTTGCGGCTGATATGCAAAGTTTTCTTTCTGCAGACCAGAGCAACTTCAACATATTTGCTGTCTCCCAAATGGATTGTGTTAAACTCCAAACAGGACTTCTTATGGCTTAAGATTAAATGCAGTTAATTAAATGACAGGACTCAATTTAATGAATTGTTGACATCTGACAGCAGCTTGTTGACCTGGATATTTAGAGATATCTCATAAAAAGGAGTTGAACACGTTTTCAAACTTTTGTTTACAATCAAAATATCACCTCTCATTTCATAATTATGCATTGCTTTGCATCGATTTTTCATAACAAACTGATCTAATTTAAAATAATAAAGGAACTACATCTACTGTAAGAAACAATTAAATGGTATGAATAAACATGTGCAGCTTTGTAGTTATCAAACACTAACTCACAATTTTGTCGAGCCTGAACATGAAACTGGCACAAGTTAATTTAAATATATTGTCTAAAGCTATCATATGCATTCATTTCTTAAAATTAATTTTCCTTAATATCAGGGACATCCTTAGGGAACTAAAACATCTTGATCAGTTTCCTTTTGGTTTGTGTAACTAACTAAATTAAGGTTATTTTGATTTGGTTTATTGAAAATTCTCCAAACCTTAAGCAGTCTGTGCCCTCTCTGGTGTGTTTCTGACCTCTGGAGTCTACCAGCTGATTATGTTCACTCTCCCCTGGTAATTCACACCCTGCCCCATCCTTCCTGTCCTCTGAAATCCATACCATCTCCCCTGACCCCATTCCACTCACCCATTGACCTCCACACAGACACTCATTCAACAGTCTTAGCCCCACATTAAGACTCTCAAACCAGCACTAAACCATGGCTAATGTGAGGGAGCCCCATCCTACTGCTCCACCCCCCAGCTATGTTAGTATCTAAAACTGCAAAGCTGT